CTTGTGGTCAATCCTGACCCCCAAGTCCCTCTCATCCATTAACTTGACCTCCACTAATTGTGCAAAGCAGCCACAATACAGCCTAGGAGTAGGAATTGGGCCTGTGCCTTTAGCGAGTTACTGGTTAAGATACACATTGGCATTGTACAAGTTCCTTCACCTTGCTCAGCTAATGCTCAACTTCACCCTGACCTGCAATGGAAACCATCTTAAGGCTCATGATCAGGTGATTAAGTTTCTCTGGCAGACGACTCCTAGGCTTCTTCATGCCAACCCTAATCACGACAAGTTCACATTACGGTAGATAGCATTCTTTTATTTCAGTTTGTTTCTGACGGGGAGAGAGGTTATGATGACTGACCAACATCTGTCTGCTAGAACAGGGGTGGGCAAAATGCGGCCTGCAGGCCAGATGTGGCCCTCCAGGTTATTGTATCTGGCCTGTGGGGCCCCTAAAAAATTTAGAAAATTAATATTTAGCTGCCCTTGGCTACCTGTCACGTGGCCCTCGATGGCTTGCCAAAACTCAGTAAGCGTCCCTTCACCCGAAATAATTGCCTGCTCTTGTGCTACAATGTGTTTGTATTCTCTGAAGCCTGGAAAATGTCCTACAAGGAATTGTGCTAAGGGGCCCAAATGTCCATTTAGCACCAAATTGTACCCTGATTTATGACCCACTTCGCTCCACCAGGTATATTGACATGGATCCATGGATAAATCCATGTATCAATAGTATCTGTTAAATATGTCTATCATGCCCTGTGAAATACGTGTATAGGTGATAATGTATCAATAGTAGCTGTGAAATTTATCACGCCCTAGAAGGAGATGCAAAGTAGCAAGGGAGCAGCTTTAGATTAAAATGTAAGATCTAATCGCATTGTTTTCAAAGCTGCTGTGTAAAAAGATAATTGAGTTCTGCAAAGTTAAGAAGGAGCCAAATATTAACTTGCATTTATTATTTTGTAGCCCGAGATATCAAGATCATGAAACCACTGGAAGACGTGGAAGTGAGTGAAAAGGAAAGTGCAACTTTTGTCTGTGAGATCTCGCATGATGAGGTTCAAATCCAGTGGTACAATAATGATGTCAAACAGAAGGCCAGTGACTACATCAAGATGCGTCAAGACGGTAAGGTGTAAACAAGTGGTATCATGGTTTGTGGTTCACATACAGGACATGGGTCGACATAGGACATGTGGGTATATGCTTGTGGGATATATGGCAGAGAAAAGGGAAAGGACAGATGGCAATAGGCTTTGAGAACAAAGAACTGAGTCCTACTCTTTGGTCAAGGAGTTTCTGCTTGTGACAAACGTTTTATGGTTCTCAAATGAGTATCAGCCAAGTGGGACCAGGACTGTAGTGTATTGGCTGCATGGTCAACTTCCACGATGGAGGGTGTCAAAACAGTTCACTCATTCCTAATCAGAGAACACACTCGGGTCTTAGGGAGGGGAAGCAAACACTTACCTGCACTGGACTCTGGAAACAGCCATCTCCATTCTTCTCCGGTCATCATGCAAAAGGGGCTCCTAGCTTCTCGAGTGACTCAGGATGAAAATGTGTGTGTATGCAAATGAGAGGGATGGGAGAACATTGATGCGAGTTCAGTAACCACCAGTTTTAAGCAAGATGAATGTGGTGCATTTTATCTAAGACGCAAGGAATTGGATGGATATTTAAATACATGTGAGCAGGTCTGCATGTGCAATTAAAGTGACTGAATAATTGAGGTGTATGAAACGGGCCGTATTCGACTCAGTTTTGGATTCGGCCTGAATCGGGGATGGTGATTTGATTAGTTGATTTGGATCACTGTCCCCAATTCGATTCGGCTAAATCCGAATCTGAAGATTCGATGCTGATTTGGAGAATCAGCGATTCGGCCATATGCACCGCTTTAAATGTTTCTTCTACTTACCTCAAGGTACCAGGCACAGCTTGTGAACACTGCAATGCTGGCACGGATGGAGCATCCCACAGGAGTGTGGCAGGGCTTCCCAGAAGTGGACTGGATGTACTTCTGGTCCACTTCCAGGTCTGCCACCAAACACATGGGGGGGCGGGCCCTATGCAGCCCCTGGCTTGGCGATTGGCCACAGGGGTACCCCAGATGTCCTCCTAGATCCAGGAAGCACCAGTCACCAAGCCAGGAGGCTGCCCTCACATACTCCCCAGTGGACCTGGAAGTGGACTGGGAGTGCTTCTGGTCCACTTCTGGGTCTGCTGCGGAGTGCGCTAGGAAACCCCTCGCACTCCTAGAGGTATGTAGAAAAAACATTTAAAGCTGTGTCTATATCCGAATCAATGAATCTTTCTGAATCTCTCCTGATTTGATTCAGATTCGGCCACTGAATAGGGCCAAATCTCCACCAAATCGAATCAGGGACTGAAGCTTGGCACAGCCCTACTGAATAAACTCCAGTGCAATTTGAGCCAGAGTAAACTAATCCAGATGTCATTGTCTACACATGCCTTTAAGTGCAGTAATTTACTTTCCTGTCAAATAGTACTTGTGTCTGATAGGACTATCCAACAGTGTAGTAAATTAGTCCATACTAACCTAATTGCCACACACGTTTAGACAGTGATGCTTTAATATGCAGCAATTTAGTCTACTGGGCAGTAAAGCATATGTATAGATGTGCCCTGTATGTACATTGCTTTCTAACTCAACTATTTTCCAGATGGTTAATTAGAACTGGGGAGCCACTTGTTCTGGCGGGAGTCAAGTTTACTTTCCTATTTAGTAGATAAAAGTGTGCTTATTATGAGGCGGGATCAGGTTCTCCGTTGTCAGAAATGGGCACCACTTCATTGTAGCTAAAATTAAACCAGCAACTTTCAGTGTCAAAAGAAACCTGTCTTCTCATTGTGGGTTATGTATGGTTGTGCATTTATTCACAGGAAGGACCCATTCATTGATTTACTCGCTTTGCCATATGGAAGATGCTGGATTGATCAAATTTGTAGCAGAAAACGCAGAATCTCGAGCACACCTTAGAGTTAACGGTAATTACACCAGAAATGAGAGCATGGCTTAAACAGCTGTTCGTTGTGAACTAACTAACTCCCGTTGATGTCAGTAGGACAAGAGTGAATGCCTTCCAAAATCCTAGCCTGGCTCCATTAAAAAGAGAACGGGAAAAAAATGTAACCCCTTGTCTGCATTTCCTCCTACAAAATATCAAGCTTTTTGCTAGGTAGTCTCCTTTACTAAATAATGTACAAGTTCTTTGCGGCGTGGACATTTCTGTCTTTCCTTTTCTTTTCTTTTTTTGGCAAAAGAACTAACTTTACATTTTGAAAAGACAAATCTTTTCTTTTGAGAAGGCATTTCCATGCTAGTTTCACATCTGCCTGGTTAGCACTGTCTCTCACTGCCATGCATTTGAGCATAATTTTGTGTCTAATTTAAATAGCAAGTTACAAAGGAAAAGAAAGGGTGGTCAGACAGTTAGTACATGAACCTAGGACCCAGGCCATTTGGGCTCAGTTCAAAATCCCCATGTTATCGTACTTTAATCTCTTTGTAAAATGGGGATAATAATACTCTCCCCATCCTTTTTCTCATTGTGTGTTATTGTACCGTATAGCTCAAAAGAGTCCCAATCACAATCCAGTTAATCAGTAATGATAAAGAACATGTCACTAGTGATTTGTATCCAGCACCATCCAGTTGCAATCCCACCAACTGTTTTCTGTTCCTTTTCCTTAGCACTGCCTATAAAAATCCTGAAGCCGTTGCGAAATAAGATTGCTTTGGAGAAACACCGGGGTTACCTGGAGTGCCAAGTGTCTAGCCCCACTGCCCATGTTAGGTGGTATAAAAATGACATCGAGATCTGCCCTGGCCGTAAATTCGAGTTTGTGAGTGACGGCGTGTACAGGACACTCATCATAAACGATGCGACTTTTGAAGATGAGGATGTTTACACGTGCGATGCCATCGATGACAAAAGCAGCGCTTATTTTTATGTGGAAGGTACCTGGCCATTTTTTCAAGTGCTTATTGAAGGCATGTAGATAGTTCTTGACGTCTGAATATGCCATGAAGGGAATAGGACTGCAACCTGGCTTTCATTTCTGGGCTTTGTCATAGATTCCCAGTTTGATCATTCCTAGTAACGTGGTTTCCTATACACAAAAAAAGAATGATGTTTACATCTCTCCATAGGATGGTTTAAAGCTTACGGCACTAATAGGCTTACGTGTATGGATATCTCAGGGCAGTAGACACTAATGAGAATGATGAGCACAAAACAGTCATTTCCTAAATCCATGCTCTAATATGTTCCTTTTCTTGCTTTTCATCCCTCACACCAGAGCAATCCATCAATATTGTAAGGGAGCTGACTGATGTGGATGTGACAGAGCCTTGGGAAGCCAGGTTTGAGTGTGAGATCTCCATCCCGTCTGTGAAATCTGCCAAATGGTTGCTGGATAAGCAAGTCTTGCAGGCTGGCAGAGACATCACCATTGAGCAAGAAGGCACTGTCCATCGGCTGATTCTATGGAAGACCAATGCCAACATGACAGGCACCGTTCAGTTTGCAGTCGGCAAATCAAAATCTGCGGCTAACCTGCTTGTAAGAGGTGGGCTTGTGATCAAGAATGATTTGAATCACGCCATAGATGCATTTGCAACCTTTTCTCGTTCTATTGAAAAATAAATGTTCAGCTTAGCTTGCAGTTGTGCATATGCATGGTTTCCATCCGTTGGACCCCTTAACCTGCCATTTTAACTACCCATTTAAAACAGGCAAGGCCTTTCTGTGATATCTTTTACTGACCAAGTCACTTGACCAGGTGCCCAAAAGCTTGTCCAGCAGCTTGTCCTCAATAAAAGATATAAAATAAAACCCCTTGCCTCTTGACATATCCTTGGCCATCACAGCTACAACACTCCAGCAAGTCTCAAAGTGGTGTGTTAGTTCAGCCACAATTACTGGACTGAATACAGGAATGACAGAGCAGAGATATGTGGCTTGTGCTCAGCAGGAGGTCAGATTAAATGATTACATCATTGTTTCTGGCTTTAAAAATCCATGACTCTAAAACTAGTACAATCACAGTTAGATACCATATATTTGCAGTATATAATGTGATTCAGATAATGGGAAACTGAGATCATCCCTGAGTTTGAACTTTAAAAAAAAATATTCATATATGAAGTTAAGAAATAATCCCCAATTTAAATGCACGAAGAAGTAAAAGAAGGGAGGTCAATGATGTGCAGTGTTCCCTGTCATTGTAACTCAGGGTCAGCTGTCACACTTTTTGTGCACATCTCCACTTCCTGCTTTTATTCTGGGTCAGAAATACAGAGGCACTAAAGGGGAGGCTGCTCCAGATTACTTATTTTAGTCATTATAGGACACAGAAAACAGCTGAAATGTCCCAGGAGTGCTTGTTCTTGTAGGTTCCCAGTCCCATCTCTTGAATCGAAAGGTTTCAGTAGGAAGTCTTGAAGTCATAGATTCATAGATTCATAGATTAAGGGTCGGAAGGGACCTAGTAGATCTTCTAGCCCGACCCCCCGCCAGGGCGGGAGAACAACAAAAACCCCAAAAAGAGAAATGGGACTCAAACGAGTCCAGCTAGGTGGGCATCCAGCCTCTTCTTAAAGACCCCCAGGGTAGGGGCCAGCACCACTTCCCTTGGAAGTTGGTTCCAGCTCCTAGCCGCCCTAACGGTGAAGTAGTTTTTGCGGATGTTCAATCTATACCTCCTCTCCAACAGCTTGTGCCCATTTCTCCTTGTTAAAGTCCAAAGAGTTCATCCAAAATCTAGGAACTGCAATGAGGTCTCGTTTATATTACCAGATGGAAACATGTCTCTTCTTCAGGCTTCACTTACCCGTTCCGCTTTCGCAACCCTCTTTTGCAGAACTCAACGTGCAGATCACCCGGAAGCTGGAAGACAAGACTGTCCTGGAGCGCCGTTCTGTCATCCTGTCCTGTGACTTCAAGCCATCTCCAAAGGTAGTAGAGTGGTTCAAGGATTACATCCCCATTGAACCCTCTGACAAGCACAAGATGACCCGGGAAAAGCACTCGGCAGAACTCAAAATTGTCAAGGTGAGGCCTGAAGATGCCGGCGTCTACACGTGCAGACCTGGAAATGCAGTGACCGAAGCCACGCTGACCGTGGAAGGTATGACTCACAGCGGGGTGGGAGGTGGGGTATTTTCTTTTTGGTGGCTTGATATGTCTCTTAGGCTTTGCAGGACATCCTTAGTTTCTACCAGTTTTCCTTAACAAGTTCAATATCATTTGGGCAAAGTGCTATTTTTTAAGTGGAAGATAATGTTTGTGGTAGGAGCTGAACTAGCAGTCCAGGCAATCAAAACCTTGTTCTTGGCCATACAACAAATATATCACATGTAGGTGCAGTGCTTGTACGATAGCCTGGGTTACGGCAGTGTGTCATGACACTTTTCAGTGGCTCACCCCTTAAAACTAGACCAGTCAGGTGCACATAACTAACAATATTTTAATGTAGTTAAAGCACTATAGGCTCTGCTTCTTGGTGCTGGCTGGATTTGATCCCTGTAAAACATGGCAGCATCTGTTTATATTTTCCATGTGTCCATTATTTGTGCTTTTGCCATCCTGTATCAACCATCCTCCTCCATCTGGAGGATGCTGAGTAAGGTATTTCATTGTCCTCTAGTTTGTAGCTCAATCCAGGAACATCCCTGCCCAATTCATCCTAGACAAGTGTTTGCCTAACCCATGCTTAAAAATGTTCAATGACAGAGCTTCCAGTCTCTCTAAGTCATTTTTCCTGGTGCTGAACTACCCTCAGAGTTGAAAAGCTCTTTCTAATATCCAATCTAATCCTCCCTTGACGTTATTTAAAGCCATCACTTCTTGTCCTGTCTTCTGTGGCACCTGATTGCCATCTTCTTTATAACAAATCTTTTTTGTAAATGAAGTCCATTATCAAATCTGGCCCTTAGTCGCCAGATCAAATAATATAGGCCCTGGGCTGATTTTAAATGCGTCATTGAGCAGCCTTTTATAGCACTGGGATGTTGCTGCCTTGGACTGGATTCATGCTGACAATTTAAGAGTAAAATGTGCCATGCCCTCAACTTCACAGAACTATTCTGGCTTCAAGGAAGATGGTTTTATGGTTATGCCACTGGTGTGTGACTCCAAATCAAAGGGGTTCAGTTCCCATCTATATGCCACAGACTTCCTCCGTGACCTTGTGCAAGGCACTTTGGGTCAGATTCAGATTGACCTCATAGGTGCTTAAAACTCAGGCACCTTGCCTGAGGTGGGGAGGGTAATCCAAAAAGAAGGAGCCTCAGCTCTCAATACAGCCGATTGGGAGAATAGGCAGCTCTGAAGAGTAATTCGGAGCACCTTGGCACGGGGTGAGGAACTGCCTAGAACTAGCTACTAGCAAATGCTAAGCACAAAGCCCAGCCCTCCCATGGGGATTAATTCCCTGAATTAGATTGTGTGTCCTGGTCACTATTGCTAATTTAGGGTCCAGAGCACCTACCTACCTAAGTGGCATGGAGCTGCTTCCCTTTTCCGCTGCAGCCTCCCTGTTAGAGCATTTCCCCCATAATGGGAGACGTGGCTCCTAGGTCCCCTTCTGCCTGAGGGGTTCAAATGCTCATCTCCCACCTCCTGAGAGAGTGCCCTCACCATCAGGCTAGGGAATAACCCGACTGCTCCTCTTGAAGCCAGGCTGCTGGGTCAAAAAGTAATGGAAGAGTCATGGGGCTTGGGGGAGAGTAAGTGAGAGGGAGCCTGACTCTCTGATGCAGCTGCAGTGCTGCTCAGCTGGTCAGAGGGGAATTTGGGCCCTGCTCTTATGGCTATTTCTGTCTTTTATCTAATGATACCAGGGGTATCAACTTAAATTGGAGCCCCAGGACAGATCCAGTCAGCTTGGCTCTTTGCAGACTGTAGTGGTGACAGAGGCAGCAGTGGTTGAGACTAGCACAGCCGCCACAGCAGCAGTGGAGCAAGCAGCATCAAGGGGGGTGAGGGATAGTGGGTCGGGCAGCCATGGGGTGAGCAGGGGTGGGGTGCACAGCCCTTGTTCATGCTATAGCTACTGGGGCCACAGATTGTGCTGCAGGTCTTGTTCATCGCTAGCCACACGCACAAATTCCCTGGCCTACCAGTAGCCCAGCAGGCCAGAGGGTGGATCCAGCTGGTCGGCTATAGGTTTGACACATCAGGTTTAATGTACAACTTGATCTCTGTGCAATCTGTGAATGGTTTGCGATGACGACGAGCACATGCCTTTTGCTTCCTACAGCTCGGATGGTGGAAATAATTCAACACCTGCAGGACGTGGAGGTGGAGGAGGAGGACTGCGTTATCTTCTCCTGCGAGCTGTCTCATGACGATGAGGACGTGGAATGGTTCCTCAATGATACCCTCCTCTACAGCAACAATTACAATGAAATCAAGCAGATCGGAAGGTGCCACATGCTGACGATGAAGCAGGTGAAACCAGAGGACGCGGGAACAGTGACCATCAAGTCTGAGAAGATCTTGGAGAGCGCTCAGCTGAAGGTGATAGGTGCGTCATGGTCACAACCCTGCAAAATCATTTAGGAGCATATATAGGAGATAGAGAAGAGCTATTCCCTCTCCCTGCCCCCATCCTTCCAGTGCAGCATATAAATCTTGTCTACTCAAAGTCTGCATAATTCAGAAAGGAGGGTTTTATCACTTCCATAAATTTGGTCTGTTTGTTTGGATATCCTGCCAGATTTTTCCCTTGTTCGGTGCCATCCTAATATTTCGCATTATTATTATGTAGCCTACTTAAAAAAATTCTTTCCTCCCCTCCATTTTAGCATACTTCAGAATTGTATCCATCATTATAGCAGCTTCATCATTAAACTCTGGTTAGCTGAACTCCGGGGTACTTGAAAGAAAACAGCAGCTGCTCCTATCCTACAATAAATCTATTTTACTAATAATCATTATACTAACTTGCTATAAATATGGTCAGGAGCAGGACTAATTCAATACCTAGGGCATATTATGCCATTGTTTTTCAACGTCCCTTAAAAACAATGAAAAATTGAAGGACTTTGGGAATAGAAATCATAGTATCATAGTACTTAGGGTTGGAAGGGACCTAAACAGATGATCAGGTCCGACCCTGTATCTCTGTGAAATACTCTGGGTATCTCTCCGAAATAGTCTTGGCTCCTGCCCTTAAGGGCTGAGGATGAGCCCATGGAGCACAGTTACTATGGAGCAACTTGCACTGGATTTTACTAGGCAATACATTTCTAAAAAAGGGGCAGTTGTCCCAAGTTGGCTGCTCACAGTAGGTTTAATTACAGTGCCTGGCCTCAAAGTGATAGGGCAGCTCGTTTGCACTCAGCAGATGGGATGCAATTGTGTAGGAGAGCGGATGCGTGACCCATACAATGGTATAATTTAACATGGACTCTCCTGTTGGAGGCTTTCAAGAAGAGGTTGGATAAGCTCTGCTCAGGGACAGCTTGGATGTTGCAGTGTCTGGGCTGTGAAAAGCAATGGCTGGAAGCCTAGTGGGACTTGATGACCTCTGGAGACCCCTTCCAGCCCTACGTTTCTATGTTTCTGTGGGAGTACAGTTGCACCCCACTGGCTGACACTGCAGGGTGGAGGAGCTGACACTGATATAAGACTGTGCATCGTGCATCTGCTCCACTTCTGTGACCAAGTCACTTTACTCTGCATTATGTGCTCACGCTCAGAGGAATTTATTCCCAATCCAAGATTTGAATTCCTCTTTCCCCTCTGAGCCTGTCAGAAATTGTTCTTGTTCCCAACATACACATATCAAATAACTAAAGGATTGCAAAAATCAGATGAAGGGAAACAGTGACATTGAGGGTAAGAGTGGGAGTGTAATACCAGTATAACCATGGAAGGAAGTACAGGATCCAGCTAACCCGCTGCACTTGTCTTGCCTTACAAAATGGCAGCATAGGCTGTTGTATAGATGCATCGTGTGGAGGAAGTAAAATAAAACCCCAGACACAAGTCTGTCCACAGCTGTTCTTCAAAGCGGGCTATATTCTCAATACCTGAGCCCTCTGCATCACCTGAACCCTCTCTAACTTCAGACAGCTGGGAGGAGAGCATGCACCTTTCAACTGCTTTAGCCTTCTTGACGAGCCAAGACCTCTTCTCTTGGCTATCCCTGCCAGAGAGGCAAGCAGCCTTATATCTGGCCTTGAGTAGGATGCTGGAGTCATTTGCTCTGTGACAGTAGCTCCCACTTCCAAAGGGCCATGGGCCATAACAGATGCACTGGGAAGCCGTCATGCAGTTCAAGACCTAGTGCTAGACAGCTGCACAGACCAAATGAGACAGAGTAGCCCCAAAGCTGCATGCATGAGACAGGGTGCTAAGATGCACTGCAGGTAACCCCCACTCATGAAGGTGCAGAACTGCCCCTCTCACTTCCTCTGTCTTTCCACCAAGGAGCCATTACGTGTTTGTTTCTTTCCATCCGAAATAAATTCCCATGACAAAGTATGGGAGGGCCTTAGGCTGCATATTTGCATCCTCCTGGCTTCAGTGAGCATGATGTTGGCTCAAGCAAACCCTCTTTCAACAGCTGCAACCTGCAGAAAGTTCATCCTCACATGTCTTCATTTTTTGGGTTGATGCTAAAACCAGGCGTCTCCACATTTGTCTGTTCACTGCGAATCTTGTTGCCCAGTGGATTAGTGGTTTCATCTACTCTTCTGCATCCTTTCTCAGTCTTTCCCTCATCCTCCTCATTCCTTTCCCACATCCTTGAAAGACAGGCAGTCTCCTTCTTTTGCAAACCCATGTCCAAAACATTTCAACCTTTGCCTCTTGATAATGTTGATGAGGTTTTGTTTTATGCAGCCCCACGGAAGGGTACTCACTCTGAATTTGTCTTTAACGTCCCTCAGAGAAGCCGGCCATCTTCATGAAATCCTTGGACGATGCTGTTGTTGAGGAGTGTGGTGCACTCAAACTGGAATGCGAGGTCTCCAAACTAAAGGCCAAACCTATCTGGAAGAAGGACAATGTGGAGATCAGCCGTGGTGACAAGTATGAGCCAATGCAAGCTGGGAAGACCCTGTGCCTTCTTATCCGTGATGTGACCAAAGACGATGCTGGTATATACACGTGCGATATTGGTACCGATGTTGCCAAGTCAAAAGTCAGCGTTCAGGGTAGGTGTCACCAAAGACGGCGTTGTTCTTCTGAGGTGGGACAACAGCTGGGTGTTGCATGCAATTATTCCTCGAGTCACAGGTCATCTTTTGTGCGGCTCAGTGTTCTCAATTATAAAATCAATATATATCAATCATTACTAAATGGCATAGTGAGAGCTGAACAGACTTATTCTGCATTCTAAGTATAAGACAAAACTGTGGTCTCTGAAAGCTTGCCGTGTACTGAAATTGTTGGCAACTCATGGTAATTTAAAGGTAGCCAGTGTAGGGACTTATCAGGAACCTTAATTGTGTCCATAAAATGCACTTGACATTGTGTAAATCAAGCAAGGCTTTCCTTAAGTATTCGGCATTAGTTTATGAGGATGCATATGTAGCAGAGATGCAAACTGATGTATACAAATGCAAAGGTTAGCTCATAAGTGGACTCAGCTATGGATCAAGTCCTTCCAAACCCTCTGTATTTAATAAAAATACAAAGCGAACATAACAAATAACTTTTTTACTAAAAAAAGTTACTAAGAGGTTGCGAGCACCTACTCTGGATACCTTTAAGAAATGCCTGGATGCTGATCTTGCTGGGGTGATCTGACCCCAGCTGACTTCCTGCCCTTTGGGTCGGGGGCTGGACCTGATGATCTCATGAGGTCCCTTCTAGTCCTAACGTCTATGAAATCTGTCGTGTAAAAGGTCAGGGATAGGGAGTTATTTAAAGAAGAAAATACGAAGTTTCACATGGTTCAGTTTTTCATGTGGGGCCAGATTCTGCTACACTTCTGGGGCATCACAGTGGACATAGGCACCTAAGTGTGATTATTTTCTACCCTGCTGAAGTCCCTGGAAAGCTGTTAAAACATCTCCTTTTGCAACAGGCCATCATCTGACCCTTAAGACTGGGTCACAAAACCTAGCAAGGAGCAAGAGGGCCTGCCTACATCCTGTATTAGTAGTTCTTCAAGGGCTCAAGCGGGGGGGATTGAATTGCACGTAGGCACCCAAGTCTACATCTGCACCAGCCAGAAGCAATAGAAACTGGCTCCTAGACTCCAGCAGGGGAACCAAAAGCAGTCATGCACTCTGGCCTTTGGCCCTTGTAACTGCTGTTAGAAAGAAGGAGCTGCTGGGGTTTTTAGGTTGCTAAACCTAACAGGATGAATCTAAATCCATCTCCATCATAAACGGGAGGACCGCAAGTCACAAAGTAGAAAGCAACCCATAAAGTCCCAATTTGCAGAGTCAGTATGAGAGGAAACTTTTAACTAGCCAGAAGGCTTCCCCTGACTGAGAGCTGTCTTCCTCTCCGGCCGCCGGCAGCGCCGACTCCACTGCACGAGCAGGCTCGATGTAATGCAAGAGTCCAAGTCCCTTTTTCCACAGCTACATGGAGGAAGGTGCCACACTTGGCATATAAGGGGTATCTTGTTAGCAATGGCAACTAGACAAGTGAAGAATTCAGTGCTTTTCTGGTTCATATAATCTCCCAATCCTCAAACATAAAAGCCTGACCACCTAGCATGCAATAAAACCCTTTACAGCAATTTGAAAAGCCCTTCTGTAAGGTCAGGGCTCTCGGTGATGGACAATGCCATTTTTCCCTCCTCTTAAGTCATTGTAGCAACCACCGGTTTGTCTTTCAGAGCTGAATATCGGTATCACTAAACGCCTGAAGAACACCGAAGTCCTAGAAGGAGAGGAGTGCAGTTTTGAATGCATTTTGTCCCATGAAAGTGTTGGTGAATTCCAGTGGACATTGAATGGGACTAAAGTAGAAAGTGGGGGAAGGTTTAGGACCCCTAGCAAGGGTCGGAAATACAACCTCAACATCAAAAAAGTGGCTGCAGCTGATGCTGGAGAAGTGGTCTTCACGGCTCGTACCTTAATCTCCAAGGCCTTGCTGATTGTGAAAGGTAAGGAGTACAGAGAGGTTTTAGGACTGGATTTTTTTTTTTTTTAGCATAAGGTGCCTCAGTAAAATTTTAGGACAGGATCCTGATCTCACTGCACTGCCCCTTTCATTTTGACAGGAAGAAAGGCCGGGTGGGGTGGAGGGACAGGAAATATTTGAACAGTTTATACTTATCTACAAAGGTCAACAAACAGTTGCTAGAGCACGCTTAAAGTAAGCCCATCTCTGTTCATTATGGGCCTGGACTCATAAATACAAATAATTACAGGTGCAAATGCTGTTTACAAGGAGAGGCTGAAGGACCAACCTTATTTAGCCTGCAGAAGAGGGGGCTTGACTAGCAGCCTTCACCTCCCTGCAGGGGGGCCGCAAAGAGGATGGAGCTGGACTGTCCTCAGTGGGGGCAGGTGGCAGGACAAGGAGCAATGGGCTCAAGCTGCAGAAAGGGAAGTTGAGGTTGGATATTAGGAAAAACTTTCTCACTAGGAGGGTAGTAAAACACTGGGACAGGCTATTGGATCGGGCTGTGGACTCTCCATCCTTGGAGGTTTTTAAGACCCAGGTAGACAAAGCCTTGGCTGGAATGATGTAGTTGGGGCTCGTCGTGCTTGGAGCAGGGGGTTGAACTAGATGTGACCTCCTGAGGTCCCTTCACACCCTCATTGTCTGTGATCCTATGAATATCAGCATCTGGAATTAATCGTGGCTGCAAAGCTGTGGCCACCTAATACGTTCTTTAGTGACAACTCCTAATTTTCAGTTTACTACTAGCTCACAGGTAGTTAATGCCCACTGAACATGAACGCTTGCTAACCCCCCGGATCCTTGCAGTTGAAAGTAAATCTGCAACCTATTAAGTGATTGTAATTATATTAAGTGATTATTATTAATTAATAATTTGGACACTTATCTTGCTGGGATCCTTTGAACCCAGCTGACTTCCTGTCCCTGGGGCAGGGGGCTGGACTCAATGATCTTCCGAGGACCCTTCCAGCCCGAATGTCTATGAAATTTATAATTAGGTGACATGAATATTAGAGGTTTTGGAAGCCTCCCCCCCCTACCCCCCCCCCGAAGAAATTAAAATGATTCTATTCACAGATTTTTAACTATAACTGTTTCCCCCGCTCAGAAAAAACACCTGAGATTTTAAAGGAGCTGGAGGATAAGAAATCATCTACGGGCCAAGATGTCAGCCTGAGCTGTGAATTTTCCAAACCCAATGGAAACATGAAGTGGTTCAAGGATGGCAAAGCTATCCGGAAAAGCCAGAAATATGACCTGCATCAGGATGGGGCACGGTCCATACTGATCATCCACGATGTCACCATGAAGGACGCGGGGGAGTACTCATGCGAGATGGAGGACTCTAAAACGAAAGCGCTGCTCACGGTGGAAGGTCAGTAGAAGCACAAAAAGTCAGTGTTTTTGAAGACTTTTTCATTCCTTTGGTTTTCTGAGACATGGCTTTTTGTTTTTTATAATTTGTAATGATTTAAAAAAAAAAACTTTCATTGCATTAGAATGGTAATTTCTGAGAAAGAAGGGTTTGCATTTGAAGGTGGCATGACTGCCGAACAATACAAATGCTAAAAATGTAGCCAGTGAAGCACAAAAGTGGAAAAATGAAAAGCATTCACACATGCTCCAAAGATCAGGCAGTGCTTGCAACACATTTGGAAATGCTCAACTCTATCCCCATGGGTGCCCTGGCTCTCTTGTGGACATCAGGAGTGGAGCATCTCCTTAGCATCAATTGTCTCAATACGATCAAAGGGAAAAAATCCTAATCGCATTGGCCCTGTCCCTTGAGTGAAACAAATACATTTGTCCACCTTTATTTTTATGGTTATAATGCAATATTCATATTGCCACAGCACCAAAGCCCCAACCTGGCTGGATCCTGTTGTGTTGGGTGGTGGGCAGATATCTCATAAAGGATGTCTCTTGAACTAAAGGGTCTGTGGCGGACAAAATAGGAGGTCATGGATGTACCTTTCCTCACAAGGAAGGGCCATTAGTAGTAGCAGTTACCCAGGATGTCCTGGGAAACACAGTTGCTATTGTAGGTCTAACTTACAGCCAAGTCATCAGTGAGTTTTAGACGATTAACAGCCCCTTTGGTGATTGTAAAGGTGCCGTCAGCCCTGGTTTCTAGAGGACCTGTATTTTTACAGAGCCAGTTTCCGGTGCATGCAGTTTGGGGGTGATTCCCCTTGCCCTGCTTTCTGAGGGCCCTGAGAGCAAGAAACCATGGGTGTGATCCCAAACCTTTCATGCTCCAGATCTTCTCTGCTTCCTGCCATAACTAATCCTATCCATCAGATTTTTCTCGCAGCTCATATTGACTATTTTCATCAAATGGCCTGCTTTGAAGCACTCTCCCTCATTGTTTGTGAACACCATATCCAATGCAAAAAATGCATGAATAGTCCCTCAGCTGGGACTAGATCCCAGGATTTCCCTCCTTCCTCAAGACGGGGCTTCCTCCTGCTTCCTCAGGTCCTGCTGAATTTTTCTATTGTTTTGTCATTCTCCCCAGATAAACCCAACTTTTTTGTTGCGGAGCTTTCAGACCTGCGAGCCGAAGAAAAAGGCGTAGCTGTTTTCACGTGCCAGACGAAGAAAACCGCCCCCATAGTGACCTGGAGAAAAGGGACGGCAGAGCTCAAGGCCAGCAAAAAATACGAGATCAGCCAGAAAGAGGAGCTCCTCCAGCTCACCGTGAAGAACCTCGAGAAAAGCGACAGCGACGCCTACACCTGCGACATCGGCGACGTCCAGTCCAGAGCCAAGCTGGCCGTGCGAGGTAAGTGTGGCAGGAGCCTGTGACAAGGCCTCTGCCGAACAATCACATGCAGGAGCTGTGTAACACCGAGCTCAGTTTACTCGTCACTGAAATGGGCGCACTTGGATTGCAGCCCAGAGGACTGCCTTTTCTGACATGACCAGAGGTTTTGGGTGCTTCAAGTTGGCTCTGGGTGCCTGACTTTTCGTTGAGGCTCCAAATAGGTACAGTGACCATATGTCCTGGATTGGCTGGGACAGTCCCAGATGTTATAGTCTGGCTAAGCGTCCCAGCTGTTGGAGAAAATTTTAAGCCAAGGTCCTGGAGTAGCAGGAACTTGGGAGCTGTGGGGTTGGGGTGTGTATATGTGTGTGTGCCTGGCTCAGCTGCTGGGAGTGGCAGGGTGGAGAGAGAGGCCGGCCAGGCTGGGGGCCTTGCACTGGCTCATGGCTCCACCCCTATGCTAGCCCATTGCATTGCAGCCCCCACATGGAGAGCCCAGCCCAGCTCACCCACACCCGGCCTTAACTGGGCAGAGAGTGCAAGGTCATGGCTACTTGCTCCCATTTGGCCCAGGGGCACATGGCCAGGATGGAAATTTTGCTAAATACCTTGTCACAAGGACACAAAAAAGGAAGGAAAAGACTTATTAGTGAGATGTAGGGTGATATTACTACAATGGAAGAGTGGGATATCGCCCAGGGTCTAAATGTGCCATGATGAGATGGCACAGCTGGGATCTATGGAGAAAGGCAGGCTAAGCCAACTTAACTGCTCTGCAAAGGTTAGTGTAGTTTGGGAGGAGTTCTTACAATATTTCGGTAATAAAATATTAGTTCTCCCAATTCTCTTTTTCTTCTTCTGTCCCTCTTCCCTTCTCCTTTTTTTTTTTTCCCTTTTCCCCTTTATTATCTCCTGTTTGTGACAGGCATGTACATAGTTCATACACAGTGGATATATACCATATATATTTCTGAATGTTGCATTTCATTAAAAGAAAATAAAAAGAAGAAGAAACATGTATCTGTGGAAAACCACATTTTCTGCAGCCTCGAGCAGCATCAGATGGCTGTGTGGACCACTTACAGCCTTTGGTCCTAGCTTGGGGACCCCAGATCTAGGCAGTACCCATTTGGCACGGCATGCAGAGAGATTGTGGTAGGGCATCATCAAGGGGAGAGGTGGCCAAGGCAAAACAGCTGGGTTAGAGGTAAAAATGCAGGAGAGAAAACTGATGGTACATAGAGTTCCTCGTGCCCCTAATGAGGCATCATGACAGAGGAACTCTCCTTAATAAGGAACTGATGACAGCGGAGAGAAGAGAGGAATGGTTTACTTAATAGAAGTGAGGTTGAACGGAGATATCCCATAAGAATAGTACATGTGCAGGGGCAAGATCTTCATTCCTGCGCTGCCCACCACTTCCCAGTTTGGCCTACATAAACAGTACAGTTGGGTAATCCAGGAATTACCCAGAAGCAACAAATTGCCTTGGAGCATGGGGAGTCCAGGGTCTTAAAGAAGAGGCAATACGGGAGTTATTGTAACGTGCAAGATTTCTGACATCAGCTTATTGCCTGCTACTTATTGTAGCATGCAAGATTTCTGACAACTCTCCTGACCTGGAAAATATTTGATTTTAGCACTTGAAAATGCATGGTTATTTTGCTCAAATAAGCGTCTGAAAACATAGGAGTGTAGTTCATGAAAACTATGGTAGTGTTTTCTCTCTTTTTTTCAGTTCAGTAATGTTTCCCGAATGTATTTTGTAACACGCAGTAGGGTGAGGAATAGTTTAGCCTCTAGATATCACTTTTGTGTTTTGCTCTTCTACTAATTTCCAGGCCTACTTCTTGTCTGTCCTTTTATTCCTGAAGTCTCCAAATGAAATCCCCATTCATTCAAGTGTGTGTCCTTTGGGTGCTTTCAGAGCAGTTACAAGTTGACCGGTGATCCCACACAAGACAACTGCTGCCAGTCTAGCAAAACATGAGAGGTAGAGATGGAGGCTGTAGAAACATCCACTCGGTGATATCTTGTGGGCATCTGGAAAGCCTAATCTTTTCCCCAGCGCTATATCGCAAATTCTGCTTTTATTACTTTTGGTAAACTTCTCTTGCAGGAGGAAATGAATGCCGGAGTTACCATTTACCCGGAGATTGTACCGTAGTCTTTTCCAATCGGTTGTATGTGTGTAAGTTCCTTAAGTTTGTCTTGATCCTGTTTCGGTGCGTGTTGTCCAGTAATATTTGTTGTCTTCAAGGTAACATATTCTTTGGCCAGCGACAGTGGATTTGCATTTACATCTGCTCTCCTGAGAGATTTCTTTCTCAGCAAAAGGGTTCGTGCTGGAGGCCACACCACTGGAAATTCCTCTTGCCTGCATGTGAGCACGTGCCTAGAAAATGAAGGAGTCCAGCAATGTATCTCTGTGTGCCTTGCAGGCCAGGAAGTGCTAATAATAGAAGACCTGGAAGATGTCAGTGTGGTAGAAGGAGAGTCTGCCATGTTCAAATGCAGAATCTCTCCTGTAGACAATAGCGCTGCGCAGTGGTTTTTGGGCAAACCCCACTCCATAGTAATGAACTAAATGCAATCCAGTCTCAGCCTGGTGGGTATCACTGGCTAACCTTGAAAAAGCTGGCCCTGAAGGATTCAGGGGTCATTACCTTTGAAGCTGGTGATAAGAAAACAGCGGCCAATTTTGTTGTTAAAGGTAATTAGAGCACACAAAACATTATGCAGTAGAAGATAAATGGAGCAGAAGGAAGAATCGGATGCTAGTTTAGGTATGTAGGGAGAAGGCTGGTAATGCGGCTTGCCCATTAGGATCCATGATACAGATGCTTATGTCTGTCTGATCAGGGCAGACTTTCTTTTTCAGTTTATTTGGTGTAACTTAAATAGGAAATTGCAGAACGCAGTCTGTCCCTGGGAAACCCAGTCAATTTTCTATGAACTGGGATTGCAGAATGATGGCACCAGTCACTTAGGAAACCAGTTCGGTGCAATAAATAAGTACTTTTTATTCCTCTTTTATTATGTGTAGGGCCGTAGCATAGATGCTTTCAGCCATTTAGTCCTGCCAGTTTTTCCAGGGCAATTAAAGTAAGGAAGAAAAATGTTAATCTGCCGAGTTTGTAGTGAAAGGAAGTTCTTTAGGAATGGAAGTTAGTGTTGAGAAATGGGAAAGAGGAGTCAGAAGGACCATGTTGCCTAAATGTCATGCATTCAGGATCCAGAGCATATACCTCTTGGACTAATTAAAAAAAAAATCCGTACTCAGCTGGCTTTATGCTGCATCATATTAAACCCACGTGATTTTTTTCAGAATCACATGAAACTTTGACAAGGTAAAACTTTGTCCAGTTTTGTAAAATTTGTTTGGAAATGGCTGCAGTTTCTCAGGAAACAAAAAAAAATGCAAATAAAAATAAATCAGCTTTTAGCTGCCACATACTGACACAAATTTTGATGTCATGCTGGCAAAAAAAACCATTCCTGTTTCACTCTGTTTTTAGTAAAGGGGCTAAAAAGTTAAGAGTCAACAGGTGATAGACTTTGGATAAATTTGCATTGCAAGGGTCTTCAGGCAGGATTGGTTTTCCTCTGGTGCTTAAGATTTAGCCAGAAGGTTCCTAATATATAATGTTCATATTGAAGGGAATTGCAGGAAATTTCCATGTCTAGTGAAGTTCATGCGTCTGCTTAGCTAATATTAAACCCTCGATATCAGAAATGACCTCTCCTTGGTTCATATTCTTCTTCTGGGCTTTAGATTTTGCAAGATTGCACCCAACATTGTCGGAGCCTTGTCTTGCAGCAGTCAGTCCCTCTAGAAAGCTTTATGCCTCATCCCCTGAAACTATTGCTTTCTGACACCAATACTGCTGAACACTGAATCATGTATTTGGTGGGAATACCGCATAAAACATGTACCACTCCCCTTCCCTCTGGAAAATCTCAGACCAATTTTATATGATTTTAGAGCAGCCCATTCTCATCACAAAGGAGCTTGCCGATACGGAAGTCACGGAGGGAGAAGATGCAATTCTGCAATGCAAAACCTCCAAATCGGAGAGCCCTGTTAAATGGTACAAAAATGGAAAGACCCTTAGGAACTCCTCTAAGTTTAAGATCAGCTGGGCCAGATTTGAAGCCAAGCTTGTCATTCAGAAGGCAGAAGAGAAAGACGGTGGCAGATATACGTGCGAGGCTGTAAAGGTAGTGCGGTTATTACTGTCAAGGGTAAGGAAGCTTGGAGCGGTGGTTTGGGCTGTTGCTGGGGCACCTACCGCAGAAAGGTCCAAATAACAATTTGCTGTAGAGAAACACTTTAATTCTCTCCTTCGCACTGATAATGCAAGGAGTGTTCTTACAAACTCAGCCGGGCCACCTGCAGACAGGTGACAAACTGCAACAAGTAAAGCACTTGTGCATGGTCAAGGTTGCACAGATGGGGTGGCCATGCTTTTTTTTTTTTTCTCCCCTAAGCTAAAAAAAATATTCCCTTCCCATTTTTGTGCCTTTGATCATAGCCTGACTCTCTGTGCCCGCTGATCACCCATGGCTGTCAGACACGTGCGGGAAGCACGATTTAGAAAGAAGTTCTGGCACGAGAAGGAAGAAAGATTTCTTTTTAAAAAAGCCAGGACGATGGGATTTGCAGCAGTCGCTGCCCCTGCTGAGTTCATTCGCTGTGCCTTTCTGCAGTGCATGGGACCTGATCCAATTCAGGATAATTGAATGGCATGTGCTGATGTCAGTAGGAACTGGGTCTTCCCTGCAGTGAGAGAGGGAAAAAAGCTGTTTTATGGCAGCCACCATTGACTTGGCATTTCTCCTGTCAAGGAAAAGGTGTGGATGGGGGAGTGTGAGAAGGGACTGATTTCTGCAAATGGATTCAGACCGCCCATGGCGGATCAAGAGATAGAGAAGAGGTGTGATGTGGAGTCGCTTTATAAGAAATGCTGGTGCTCTTTTCCTTCCTCCTGAGGCTACAGAAAGAGGAAGCGGTAGAGCGTGGCAAGGCCCCATGAAAGGCAGAGGTAGAAAGGGAAGAAGGGAAAGGACCTGTAGTTCTTCAGCCAAGCGACACAAGCAAGATGCACCAGTCGATGGGCTGCTTTTTCCGAATCTCGTCCTAGAAGACAGCGGTGAACACCTGGGTGAAAGGAGAAACCCACAAGCGACAACATTTCTTGCTGTTCGGGATCTGAAAGAAGTCCTCCCTCCCCTCCGTGCCAGAAGTTACCTCCTGTCTCCTCTTCCACAGAAAACACTCACCGTCTTTGGAGGACGTCTACTCCGCCAACCCCTCTCGAGTCTGTCTCTCATCGTGACTGGGTAGGAATCCTCACTAGGCGTCTCCATCCTACATGTTCATCTTTCTCCTCTCGCTGTGTGTATTGCAGGGTTTGCTATGCCGTTATCCCTTTGTGTCTGATGAAAAGATGCCTTCCGGCTTTTTTACAAGGGGAAACTCATCTTTCAGCTATTGTTTGTCATGGCACCATGTTGTCTGTCCTGTCCTCATGTTCTCCGTGTGTGCAGCAACTCACCTCCAAATCCTTCTCCTTTTTTTCTCTCTCCCCCCTTCTCTCTGAGGAAGGGCACTTGGTGTCCAAAAGTTTGCCTAACATCTTCCAGCAATACAGTTGGTCTAATAAATGATATTACCAAACACACCTGCTTGTTGTGTCTTGGATCATCCTCCAACCCCTCCGTTTCTCATGGCAATGACTTAGCTCTGAACATGTGTTAGCCAAATTCTCACCCTGCAAACAGACATCTGCCAAATGTACTACCAGAGAAAGGGCCACTAACTGCCGTGACAAAAATGGTACAAAATGCATCCCATGATCCATAGGTCCAATGCATCGTGGCGTGGAACAGACCTGCATACAGCTATCGCCTGTAACTGGGCCGTGGAGGGGAGTTGAAGGAGACCACTTCTATGATGGGGGCCCTTAAACAGCCTCTGCATGACATTGCAGACTTTCTACGGCCCCTTTTACTGCCGTTCAACAGGGCAGTAAAGTAAAACTGGCATCCCCGTAAATCTGCCCACTTGCATGGCTTTCAGAGCTTTTAAGACAGAAAACTTGTACTTACACATTCAAAGCAGTTCAATGACACTTGTATGATTATCATTTTTGAAGGTGCTCTAAAAAAACCCAAAAATGATGGTGTCTATTTTTACTTTGACCTGTGCCAAGCAGGAGACGGCTCATTAGAGTCCAGTTGGATGATTGAGTCATGCCGTCCCGTCCTTTGAGCCTGTGGCTCTACACCTGACTTGAAAGGTTTTATGCAGCGTGAAGCTAACATGGGAAAGATGATGTCTGGGCGGTCCTGTTGTCTCGAACATTCACGATCTGCAAGTCTACATTTTAGCATCGCCAGCTCTTTTCAGTCAAGGGCTCCAGCATGTGGAAACTACAGGAGGTAGCCAGGTCAGATCGTCCTGCAGGCTTAGCCAGCCTGACCCGCCGGTGACATGGACCAAGGGGGACGTTGTCCTAAAGGCCGGTGAGAAGTATGAGTTAAAGCCGATGACCCCAGCTGACTTCCTGCCCTTTGGGCGGGGGCTGGACTCGATGATCTTCCAAGGTCCCTAATGTCTATGAAAGTCTATGAAAGCAGCACGGTACTGTAGCAGAGCTCGTTATTCGGGGCTGGACTCGATGATCCTCCAGGGTCCCTTCCAGCCCAAATGTCTATGAAATCTATGAAAAAAAATTCACAGTGCTACATCTGTAGATGCTGGAGCCTATGCCTGCAGCATTGGAGAAGAGAAGACCACTGCTCGGGTGAAAATAACTGGTAGGCAAAACTGACAGAGCGGGCCATACGTTTTTATTCAGTGCTTGAGACATCTATAATTGAACAGCGTTTTTTTTTATTAGAATGTGTAGCAGCAAAACATTGAATTAATATGCAAAGTGCCATTCTGTGTCTGCGGGACGTCTCTATTTCTTCTTTAAGGGAAAGCAATTTGTATGTGCATCACCGAAACCAGTCAAAACTCCCCTAACAGTAGGGTAAAACCTACCGGCCACTTTTCTTACTCGCAATGACAGGGGAAGGCGGTGTCTCAGCATAGTTGCATGGTGGCGGAGGGGTGCACAGCATGCCACACGCCTCACCTCTCGTTTTGTGTTTTAGCCCTGCCCGTCCTTTTTAAGCAAAACCTGCAGAACACGGAAACAGAAGAGGGGAGCACCGTGGCCCTGCGCTGCGAGCTCACCGAACCCAACGCCCCGGTGGTGTGGAAGAAGGCGGGAGCTGCCCTGCAGGCAAATGCCAAGTACGAGATGAAGCAACAAGGTTCGGTGGCAGAGCTGGTGATCCACAATGCCAAGTCTGAAGATGCGGGAAGGTACACCTGCGATACCGGAGACCAGCAGACGACTGCTCAAGTCCGAATCCGTGGTAGGGGCAAAGCTTTTGTTTTAACCAGTTCTTGGCCGGGGGAGTGGGGGGCGTGGCCGGAAGCGGCGCGCTGAGCCGCTGTGCGGGCGCTGAGTAGCGCGACCCATGGCGGAGACGGAGGATGAACGGCGGCCGCTGCTGGGCCCCGCGGGGCGGCGGGGGCCGCGGGCGACAGCAGGGGCGTTCGCGGGGCGGCGTGTGGCGTGCGGCGCGGTGCTGCTGGCCGAGCTGCTGGAGCGCGCCGCCTTCTACGGCGTCACGTCCAACCTGGTG